TGAGTGAAATAAACTCTGGAGTATTTTGTGGGCGGCTTGTGTTACTTTAGGCCATTTCAAGCGCAGGCAATGCGCGACAAGGTCAGTTCTGGCAACGCAACCGAGATGATCAACTTAACTGCGGAGTGACATCGCCGGTGTCTATACGAGCTGCGTACGTTACTCTAAATTGGTGATAAATTCGTACGTATTTTCCACAGTTGGGCGATTATTTTTTCTTTGAATGGTACTGTTTTGATATTCTGTGGCGTGGTAAATGAATTATACTTAAATAAATAAATATGATTTGATTGGTATTCCTGTATATGCATGGATAATGTTGCTTATATTATAAGAAACATTGAATCCACCTTTCAAGTCAAATCGAATGCATAGGAAGTGGCTATTTACACGAATTTGGTGATGTCTTAATTTACTGATGCCTTAGACGGCTTTATTACTTCATGGTGAGAATATCAGTCAATCAAGTGTATTAGAATATTGTGAATATAATAGATAAATGCATTCGACTTCCTTCAATCAAATTTCCAAATGCAATGAATCCTGCTCAGACTTAATATATGTGATTGGCAAGATGTGCGAAACTAACAAGGATGACTTCTTGCTGTAATTTAGTTTATAATTTTACGCTACACTACACATCATTTAAGAGTAAACGTAAAGCTTTGAAGCTCGTAGACGCTGAAACTCGTACAAAAAATATGAAATAAAATATGTAATTAATTTTTATTTTAAATATTCCGAATCCATCAAATACTTGAAAAAACAATACAGGGTCGATTTCACTAGTCGGAAGATCGATCTAACAATGATAAATATCATTATAATGTAACACAACTCATGAAATGCTTTGATATTTAATTAAGTAGTGTATCATAGAAGTAAAAATAATGAAAAAATAAATCAATTTAGTCTATAATACAATACGAGTCTAGGGCACTTCAACATCAACTATTATCACTTACATTGTATTTTTTCAAAAATGTTGAGCATTATAAAAAATATCTTCTTTGACATAGTTTATGAGAAAAAATAGTATTTTTCGAAGCTATAACGGATGGTATGGAATTCAACTCGGCTTATAAATTAATCCATTCATTTCATCTATCAAATTGAAAAACGCACCCATTTTCGCAACCTAAAACATTATATTTTGCACCCGACACGTTTTTTATAACTATTTAGTGCGTGTACCCAATGAAACGGTGATATGGGCAATCTTAAAGATTAGTGAAGGTTAGAGCGTAACTCCGAAAATTTGAATAAGAGAACTTTAGATTTTAGTAGTTAACTCTTCTTTTTAAGGAAATCCGCAGATTGGGGATTGATCTAAGATGCGCTTTGCCGTTCATTTAAAAGAAGTGAATGGTGGGGTCAACTGCAGAGAATTTCATCGAATTGGTTAGTATATATATAAAAGGCCTCGCTCGACTGTCAGAAAAATCGGAGCACTTGCCTCATCGATCGGCCAAGGCCTCTTTTGAAAGGATACCTATACATACGCATGCAGTTTATTATAAGTATGTGTGAGATTGTCTTCTTCATATCAGAAAAAAACATTTCTCAGTGTTTTATTTGAGTTCTACAGTTGTGAGATCACCAAATGTTTAGGTTACAATAATACGATACGCGTTCCAGGTTGTTCTAGCACACGCTGCTATATAATCCCTATAGCGTGTCCGCCACCGATCCAACATCTCCGAAAAAATCAACTTCACTCATGGAAGTGATTGGAATTTTGTCCAAATAGTGATGCACTTTTTGCCAGTGGGTGAGTCATCCTGACCCGCTTTGACTCGGCAAAAGGACAAATCACTTCGTCCATGCATGCACTCTGTGCTCGTCCTTCGTCGCTATGAAAGTGCATCACTATTATGGACAATTTGACCCATTCATTTTTCCTAAGTCAGGTATTTAGGTTTATTTGAAAGAATTATGCATGGGATGGTCGCAAAAAATTCACATTTGACTGTTATTTACCCGCGGTCACCTGCTAACGATTGTTTTTTACCAGGCGACCACCTCCGTTGTATACAAGATTCTTTGTTTAGCGCATTGTCTGAAAATGTATTTTTTTCATTAAAACGTAGATTCCAAGAAAGATTTATAACAGAGGGATGATAGGTAGAACAAAGATCTATTATGAGATTAATGATAGGAACATTTCAGTCGCTGTCATTTATTAGATTTTCAGAGTCATGTCTCTGTTGTATTTTTTACAGCGGGTAAAGAACATTTAGTCATGGTTTGTAAGCAGAAAATCAGCATAAAGGTCCATAATGTCTCATTATGATGGTATAACAAGTATCTAATCGAGCATGCCTGCTTTGGAATTGAGCAAACGAAGCTGTATTTTTCACTAGAACCAGTCAAAAACAAAGTATCTATATGTCAATCAAGTGATCTCATTGATAGGCACTCGGTATCTTGAAGTGATCAAACTTTTTTTAGAAATTTCTTACAAACTAAAAAAAAATAAGTAAACTTCACGAGACTATAGTTTCTAAATGTAAGTACATATAAATGAATATACACGTAAAGTAGCTATTAAAATTTCACTTTATGAATCACTTTCAAACGTTTATAATTGTAAGTAAATTATACTTTAATATTAACATTTTTCATAATCCCACGGTTCAAATAAAATTCAAGAAAAGGACGCACTTAACCACCAAAGAAAGGAAGAACTAACATTTTCTAGCGTTTAACTTTTTATAAATTTGAACTCTTGTATCATAAGAGATAATTCAAATACATGGAACACATGCATGCATGTGTTGAAATTTGCATAATTAACTGTTTAAATGTGTCATAAGCAAGTAAGACCTTCGGGTTCTTTTTCTAAGTTTCCAACATTTACTTTTTTATGAGTGCATAATTAAGGAAAAGTAATAAATATATATAAAATTAAGCGTGTAATGATTTTGAATATTGATTTCATATACTTCAACGATTTCACATCATCAATTTTACTTGACCTGTTTTAATGTTTTCTATCAAAACGAATTACTGAAATTTTATTCTATATTCTCGGCATCGCATAAAATTTACGAGTATTATTTACCGTTTGATGCATTAATTACCATGCTGATGTATAAGCAATGATAAGTATAAAATCTTCACTATTTCAACAAAGAATTTAAAATCAAGAAGATAACGCAAAGATTCATTGTCTTCATACAAACCTCCTTATCTACATTAAATTTTAAATCTGCTTGTAAACATTTCGCTTTGCTGCGTCTTTTATTCGTATATTTAGGCTTTGACATCAACTCGGTAAATTCCGGTTGAGCCCATTTAATGGCCGTATACTTATACGGGATTTTACGATTTATATACATAGGATTTTATAGGATTATATAGGATTCGGAAATTTTCGGATTTTAAATCTGATCATTTAACTGAAACCCGAAACTTCTAACACAGAGACATGGTGAATTTTTATGTCACTTTATTTGTTTGTACTTTTTTGTTAAGTTACTGTTTCATCAATCAAGTGATCTAATAATATATGAATATTTAAAATTACCATAGCACAGGTACTTTTTAATTTTTGATGGTGTTTCATAGATGATCAAAAAGCCACCTCCGTGTCACCTGAAATTCATAATAAATCCCCAGCTCCATAGACGGCCACTCATGTATTATGTTTGGCCACCTATAAGTGGCCTTAGTGCTAACATCGTCATCAACGTTACACGACAACTTAGACAAAATCTTCTTCAGTCTCGCTGAGCACGAGTTGGCTAGCGCAGACATCGAAGGTGTTCAGAATTGTTGTGTTACCAGAGTTCGGTCAAAGTTATTTTCGGTGAAGGAGACTGGTGTTCTTCAGTCAGGCTTACACTGCAGTGCATGACGCTACTCGAGTCCTTCTTCTGTTTTAGTGGACAGATATTGTTGAAAATTCATGCAGGGGTATAATAATCATCATTTATCGTATTTATTTTCAAAAGGTTTTGATTAATATAGAAATATGAGTCGTGTTATTAGTGCCTAAATTGTTGGTTCGACGGTCCTCAAATCTGTTGGTGGTCGGGGCCAAGGCTCAGGCTTCACCGACATCCTGGATTCGAATTTTGGAATCTTCGGCCTTCGAGGTCCCAACGCTATGGATTTGGCTGCAATCGGCTATACGCGCTACGGCAGCAATATGATGGAGTACTACACATGTGAGTAACATGCTCAAAATCCTTTCAATGTTTCTTGTTTATAGAGCCCTCATTTGAGCACATAACTTGTTAAGCTGTTTCAAGCATCTTCCGCAGATAAAATTTTTTACATAATTTGAAAGTACATCGGCGAATATGACCTGCATGCAGGCAGGTATTGCCATTGACCAATTACCACGACATTATTTGTGGGCAGGCGTGAATGTGTTACGAATGTCTGCATTTCATTAATTGTCATGAGTCACATGGCTCTTCACCATGAGTCAATATATAGTATCCTGCACAGCACTTTCGCCTCAAAATGTCCTCGGGTTTATAACCCGAGGACATTCATGTCTTCAATAATTCATCTGAAAATACTAATTTGATGCAAAAAATCAGCCTCACTATGAATAGGAAAATCTAATCAGCCTACCTGCTTGAGGGATTATTTTTCTTTTCAATAATTGAGGGAAATTATTGATTATAAGTTATCGAAAGTCTTATATCTTTTATTGAATCGTAGCTATAATTATCATTAAAAAAACATCGTCAAATGCTGATGTGGTTTAAAAATTATGTTAAGCCATCTAAAACGCATGGAGCTAGGAACAATGGAATTAAAGGGGTTTAATTATCACTTCTATCAATATCAAAAGTTGATATAATATCGAATTTTACCAATAACAATTAAGCCACTAAAATACTCAATAGAGGCCTCATATAATTTGTTTCCAAGTGAACAAATATATCGAATAAACTGTAATGTTACAGCCATTGCCCACGGTGGCAAAATATGTTAAGCATTCCATATGTTCAAAATAGAAGCGATGGATGTGATAGCTAGCTTCATATTTAATTAAGACATTTCGCTTGAGATTGTCGGGAGAATAGCAATTCCTACAGCTTCAATATATACTGTGAAATTAGGACAAATAAAGACACTAATTCGGTTTTCCTTTTCCATCATTAGATGAGACCAAAAAACTCAATCCTTGAATAAATTCGATATACAATATAAAATTTAAACTGATGAATATTTCAGCGCTTTTCACTCATTATTATTTAGTTCTTTGGTCAACATTTTATTATTTCTCTATAAATTCTTAAAACTTTTATTTAGAAAACCAAAAATGAGTTGTGCTTGAAAATTATTCATTTTAATGGATCTTGCCTTCAACACTCAGCTCCTCCTTTACGTTTCAAATTAATGCTGTAAAATAACCAGTCAAATTTAAACTTATTTTGGCCTTATACATATTTTTTATTCTCGTATCTCAACGGAAATCCTTAACGCTTACCATGAAGCATTTCAGTACGTTGAATAAGTATTTTTAGATCTTCAAATAAAATTTTTTTTTTATTTTGACCTCTGAGATTTTAACGAAATTTTCTTAGCATTTTTACATACGATGCTTCTCTATTGTGCATGTGAATTGCGACGAAGATTGCGTGTATACTGTGTTACTGTACTGCGTGTATAATGTGTTACTGTACTGCGTGTATACTGTGTTACTGTACTGCGTGTATACTGTGTTACCGAATACACTCATGGCACTGTACGCTCATCGCAATACATATATCATGATTAATAATACTTATAATCATTTATTCATAACAAAATATCATATTTGATTATTGCTTTATCCGTCGTCTATACGCGAAAACAGCGTCTGTGTGCATGGTTAATATGTGTGTTACATTTTATCCATACAGTCAACAATAAAAAAGTGGCGTATAAAAGTGTGTGTATATGTATATCCTACGCAGTCACACATTACAAGACAAAGTGTGCGTGTGTGATCATGTTATATGTATATTCCTACAGTCACACATAATAAGACAAAGTCTGCGTGTGTGTGATCATGTTATATGTATATTCCTGCAGTCACACATAACAAGACAAAGTGTGCGTGTTAGGCTCGCATGCTCGCCCTACGCTCAATTATGTTGATGCTTCTAGCGCCTCTACAACTTATCTATATATACTATATATATACTATATATAAGACCATATCGCATATACATAAAGCACCTCGAGCTAGCCTGGAAAATTTTAGTCAAATAAGGTCTAAAAATTATGACCAGAGTGTGTTTTTAAAAATGAACTGAGCTCGTGCTGATTATTCCTACAGTCACACATAATAAGACAAAGTGTGCGTGTGTGATCATGTTATGTGTATTCCTACAGTCACACATAATAAGACAAAGTGTGCGTGTTTAGGCTCGCATGCTCGCCCTACGCTCAATTATGTTGATGCTTCTAGCGCCTCTACAACTTATCTATATATACTATATATATACTATATATAAGACCATATCGCATATACATAAAGCACCTCGAGCTAACCTGGAAAATTCTGCTCAAATAAGGTCTAAAAATTGTGACCAGAGTGGGTTTTTAAAAATGAACTGAGCCCGTGCTGATTTCGGAACAATACTGGCGAGTTTTGGTGCTGACATCATTGTTATTAAGAATTTATTTCAAGGGATTTTGGTGCAAAATTTTACTGTAGATATCCACGCGATGGTTCTGGAGATAATTACATGGTTACCACAGATAAGTAGTTGAAGTAGTTAGTTTGCACTTAAATACGCAAAATGGGGTTTGAGTCTTTTTTTTAAATTCGTTAAATATAGCGTTGAATCATGTTGATATACAGGAGGTATAAGCTTGCTTACATATACAGTATTAATTCATAAATTTCATTACATTATCATTATTCTGAAACAATTTTAATATATTCGGCAAGCATATTTTTAATATTCTTTATCCATCGTTTCAAAGAATGGGCAAATTTTTGATATCCCACTTATTTAATTAAAATGTATAGCTGTTAATTCCTGCGTCTTGCTTTTTTGAACAGCTTGAGCCTTATGCAAAACGACCGGTTTTGGGCTCAACCAAAATTTACAGAGTTAATATCAAAGCCTAAATGTACGAATAAAAGACGCAGCAAAGGGTAATGTTCACAAGCAGAGTTACAATTTGTGGAGAAGGAGGTTTGACATGAAGATATTATGAATCTTTGCGTGATTTTCTTGGCTTTTGAATTCTCTGTTGAAATAGTTATGATTATGTACTAATCATTGCTCATTCACAGCATAATAATGCATAATGTAAATTCGTTAATAATGTCTGTGTAGCGTTAACGTTAATTCGTTAATGTAGGTGCATCGTTGTATAACGTTAATTCGTTAATGTCTGTGCAGCGTTAACGTTAACTCGTTAATGTATATGTAGCGTTATCGTCAATTCGTTAATATCTGTGTAGCGTTATCGTTAATTCGTTAATGTCTGTGCAACGTTAATGTTAATTCGTTAATGTCTGTGCAGCGTTAATGTCTCTGCTAATTCGTAAATTTTGTGTGATATTCAATTTTGCCCACGAGCTTTACAGTACATCGGAATACGAACTAATTTCTCTTATAGTAACAATTAAGGCTACATTGGTGCACCTAACATATGGACACAGAGGGAGAACTCTAATTACCAGCCATTAGTTACTCTAGCTGCTATGAATTAATTTAGAAATGTCTTCTTTCCCGTACGGCTGGCTTGTGTTGGTTACCTTCCTTTTTTCTGGGAAAGGCTATAAAAATACGACCGTTAATTATTAGAAATATGACAATTCGTGAAACATTCAAGTGCAGCGGCATTGCTGTTAAATATCTTCGCATATTTTAATCTCTTCGCAAATTTAAAATGCCAGAATGCGTATTAGTTGATCGTTGTTAGAAATCTGAGTTAGTAGACCATCGACCTTCCATACTCGCTGTTTCCATAATCATGTTACCATGTTACCATAGCATGTGTTACTCATATTGGATGTATTGCTCCGGATGGATTCTGTAGGTTTGGTTCGCAAGCATTTATTGCTTGCAAATTACATGCAGGATATGTTACTCATATTGGATGTATTGTTTTGGATGCAATACGGAGACAATCTTCATGAGCATTTATTGTTTGCGGATCATATGAAGGAAATTCTAACATACAAACACGAGTGTGGGACTTTGTGCTACTCGGGGTCTTGTTTCTGATTTCCTCCGGCTGGGTTTAACCCTTTGTCTCTTGACTGCAGCTGTTTTTGTCAGGCATTCCAGGTACGAATAGCATTGACGACGAAAAATGCATTCATAGACAAAGACATAACTTAGGCTTAATGACGATAACTGTCGTCACTACGCTATCACGTTCGAATTATATTGACCAAATATATCCGTTAAACTGACGTGATGAAAGCTGCATTCGCCATTAATTATAGAAGATGTTACAGCAGCCTGGCCTGCCGTTACTGGCAGCCTGGTCTGCCGTTACTGGCCGTTACTGGCAGCCTCCCCTGCCGTTACTGGCCGTTGCTGGCAGCCTGGCCTGCCGTTACTGGCCGTTCCTGGCAGCCTCCCCTGCCGTTACTGGCCGTTCCTGGCAGCCTGGCCTGCCGTTACTGGCCGTTACTGGCATCCTGGCCTGCCGTTACTGGCCGTTACTGGCAGCCTGGCCTGCCGTTACTGGCCGTTACTGGCAGCCCGGCCTGCCTTTACTGGCAGCCTGGGCCGCAGTGAAGCGCACACTAACTCCGTCGAGCGGCTGCCAGCAAATGGCAAAACGATGTCGCCAATGAGGGCTTGTGTGGCTCCGTGTGTGGCTCCGTGTGGCTCCGTGTGTCTCTGTGTGGCTCTGTGTGTGGCTTCGTATATGGCGCCTTATGTGGCTTTATGGCTCTCTATTTTTCATTAGGTACCGCTCCTTGAATGTTTTCATATGTAGATACACGTGGCTTCAACAGTGGCTTCATGTCTTGGACAGTGCATGATTGTCTATATATGATGTTTCTATAAGAAAGTTCAATCATTTCTGCAAAAAAAAACATTGCTCTCGATTTTAAAACTTGAAATGAGATATTATTTTGAAAGTAATGGTAAGCTCATATATGTTAACTGAAACCCTGAGAGGTTTCCAAGGCATCTAAACGGCCAGCCACAGCATCACTGCTATATATAATCCTTATAGTCGTGCC